CCCAGCCCCAGCCCAGCCCAGCCCCAGCCCCTCAGACAGTGCAAGGCTGTTCTGGGGACTGTTCAGAGCTGGGGCAGAGAGGGACTGATTGATGGCCCTTCTGGGCTCCAGTGGAATCTATCCTGGAAATGGCATGAGCCAGCCAGACCCATGAGCGTGGGACTCAGTGAGCTCACACGGGTGCTCCATGGACACAGCAGGCCTGTCCTGCACACAGAGGCCCAGGTGCATGCTGGGAGGAGGCTGGCAGTGGACTTCCTTCAGTGTCCTTGGCCTGGTCCTAATGCTTCCCCCCTTTCCCAAGTCCCCAGGAAGGAGCAGAGCAGCAGGCCGGAGTCCCCTGTGCTGGCGAGAAATGAGAGGGGAGCCTCATGCCACACGCAGCCTCCGTGCCACAGCCTCTAGTGGTAGTGCCAGAAATGGAGGCAAACCTGGGGGTCCTAGCCTGAGACCCCAAGATGCCCCCATGGTCAGGAGGTCTGCCAGGGCGAGGATGCAGTAGTGGTGTTGATCCTCATCCTGGTGTGAGCACAGCTCATGGTGTGGATGGCTGTCACGGTCTAGACACCTGTCATGGTGTGGACGCCTGTCACAGTGTGGACGCCTGTTGTGGTGTGGATGCCTGTCACGGTGTGGACGCCTGTTGTGGTGTGGACGCCTGTTGTGGTGTGGATGCCTGTCACGGTGTGGACGCCTGTTGCGGTGTGGATGCCTGTTATGGTGTGGTGTGGATGCCTGTTTTGGTGTGGATGCCTGTTGTGGTGTGGACGCCTGTCACAGTGTGGTGTGGATGCCTGTCACAGTGTGGTATAGATGCCTGTCACAGTGTGGTGTGGACGATGGTGTGGATGTCTGTCACAGTGTGGTGTGGACGATGGTGTGGATGCCTGTCACAGTGTGGTGTGGACGCCTGTCACAGTGTGGTGTGGACGCCTGTCAGTGTGGTGTGGATGCCTGTCAGTGTGGTGTGGATGCCTGTCACAGTGTGGTGTGGATGCCTGTCACAGTGTGGATGCCTGTTGTGGTGTTGGATGCCTGTCACAGTGTGGTGTGGACGCCTGTTGTGGTGTGGACGCCTGTTGTGGTGTGGACGCCTGTCACAGTGTGGATGCCTGTCACAGTGTGGTGTGGATGCCTGTCACAGTGTGGTGTGGACGCCTGTCACAGTGTGGTGTGGACGATGGTGTGGATGCCTGTCACAGTGTGGTGTGGACGATGGTGTGGACGCCTGTCACAGTGTGGTGTGGACACCTGTTGTGGTGTGGATGCCTGTTGTGGTGTGGACGCCTGTCACAGTGTGGTGTGGATGCCTGTCACGGTGTGGTGTGGACACCTGTTGTGGTGTGGACGCCTGTCACAGTGTGGTGTGGATGCCTGTCACAGTGTGGTGTAGACGCCTGTTGTGGTGTGGATGCCTGTTGTGGTGTGGACGCCTGTCACAGTGTGGTGTGGATGCCTGTCACAATGTGGTGTGGACGCCTGTTGTGGTGTGGATGCCTGTTGTGGTGTGGACGCCTGTTGTGGTGTGGACGCCTGTCACAGTGTGGATGCCTGTCACAATGTGGTGTGGACGCCTATCGCAGTGTGGACGCCTGTCGCAGTGTGGTGTGGATGCTTGTTGTGATGCGGATGCCTGTTGCGGTCTGGTATGGACGCCTGTTGTGGACACCTGTCGCAGTGTGGTGTGGACACCTGTCACAGTGTGGTGTGGACACCTGTCACAGTGTGGTGTGGACGCCTGTCACAGTGTGGTGTGGACGCCTGTCACAGTGTGGTGTGGATGCCTGTTGCAGTGTGGTGTGGACGCCTGTTGTGGTGTGGATGCCTGTTGTGTGGATGCCTGTCACAGTGTGGTGTGGATGCCTGTTGCAGTGTGGTGTGGACGCCTGTTGTGGTGTGGACACCTGTTGTAGTGTGCACGCCTGTTGTGGTGTGCATGCCTGTCACAGTGTGGTATGGACGCCTGTTGTGTGGATGCCTGTCACAGTGTGGTGTGGACGCCTGTTGTGGTGTGCACGCCTGTTGTGGTGTGCACGCCTGTCACAGTGTGGTGTGGACTCTTGTTGCAGTGTGGTGTGGATGCCTGTTGTGGTGTGCACGCCTGTCACAGTGTGGTGTGGATGCCTGTCACAGTGTGGTGTGGATGCCCGTCACAGTGTGGTGTGGATGCCTGTTGTGGTGTGGATGCCTGTCACAGTGTGGTGTGGATGCCCATCACAGTGTGGTGTGGATGCCTGTTGTGGTGTGGATGCCTGTTGTGGTGTGGATGCCTGTCACAGTGTGGTGTGGATGCCCGTCACAGTGTGGTGTGGATGCCTGTTGTGGTGTGGATGCCTGTCACAGTGTGGTGTGGATGCCCATCACAGTGTGGTGTGGATGCCTGTTGTGGTGTGCACGCCTGTTGTGGTGTGCACGCCTGTCACAGTGTGGTGTGGACGCCTGTCACAGTGTGGTGTGGACGCCTGTCACAGTGTGGTGTGGATGCCTGTCACAGTGTGGTGTGGATGCCTGTCACAGTGTGGTGTGGACGCCTGTCACAGTGTGGTGTGGACGCCTGTTGCAGTGTGGTGTGGATGCCTGTCACAGTGTGGTGTGGACGCCTGTTGCAGTGTGGTGTGGATGCCTGTCGCAGTGTGGTGTGGATGCCTGTCACAGTGTGGTGTGGACGCCTGTCACAGTGTGGTGTGGACGCCTGTCACAGTGTGGTGTGGACGCCTGTCACAGTGTGGTGTGGACGCCTGTTGCAGTGTGGTGTGGATGCCTGTTGTGGTGTGGATGCCTGTTGTGGTGTGCACGCCTGTCACAGTGTGGTGTGGACGCCTATTGCAGTGTGGTGTGGACGCCTGTTGCAGTGTGGTGTGGACGCCTGTCACAGTGTGGACGCCTGTCACAGTGTGGTGTGGACGCCTGTCACAGTGTGGTGTGGACGCCTGTTGCAGTGTGGTGTGGATGCTTGTTGTGGTGTGGATGCCTGTTGCGGTCTGGTATGGACGCCTGTTGTGGTGTGGACGCCTGTTGTGGTGTGGTCTCTGCAGGGTGTTGATCCTCATTGTGGTGTGAACTCTAGGCCTGTTGTGAAGGCTCAATGCCTGGAAGACACCAGGCAAATGAAGAGCACAGGACAGGATCAAGGGAAGCAGGCCCAGGTCCACCTTGTAGGCATCTGGCTTTTCCACTGTCTTTTAGGAAAACAATTTGGTTCTGTAGTTTTTAGGAAACTCAACTCACAGCTCCTGAGCTGTGAGCACAGGTTGCGCCCCGTGTCGCACAGTCTTCATCAGAGCGAGGGAAGTGTCAGGAAGCATCTCTGTATTTTACAGGGAAGAGACCGAGGCCTTGGCCAGGGGGCACAGCTACACCTGCCTCTCCACAGGGGCTCTGGACATCCTTGGGGTCCCAGTCCTCCATCTGCTCCCTCAGTGCACGTCCAGAGCTTCCTGAAGAGATGCTGCAGAGGGTCCCAGAGCCCCAGATGTCCCCTGCAGAGCGTGATGGGCTTGCGTGGAGGAGGTGGGGCTGGAGGGCTGTACCCCACCTGCCCCTCCTGCAGAGCTGGCTGACACCCTTGACCCCGTGTTTACCGTAGGTGGGGGGTGGGGGTGGGGGTGTGCCTCTCTCCTTCCCAGAGTTACAGAATTCTTGTTAGATCTTTAAATTTTATGTAAATTCTTCTTTCTCCCCTTGGAAGGATGGAGATCATATTTTAATTAGCAGTGGTGTCAAAGGAGGCTAGATTAATTATCAAAATCTCAAGCTCCACATGGTTTCAATCTTCCCAGCAGGGCACCAGGGTCTATATTTGTAATTTTTTTTTATTAAAATCATACCTTATGTGTTTTAGGGGCACTGAGGAGCACTCTCTGAAGTTGTAAGGATGTGGTAACTCTGGAATTCTGGGCAGTGATTTTTGTTATGGAGAAGCAAGTCCCTTGTCACCTATGTTAAACTTCTGTGTGTGAAGGAGGGGCAGGTGCTGGTAAGAGGGTCGTGTGTGTGTGTGTGTGTGTGTGTGTGAGAGAGAGAGAGAGAGAGAGAGAGATGGTCAAAACCAGAGAACTCCTGCTGCTGTGTGTGTGGAGGGCCGAAGTGTAAGAGTCAGGCACAGAAGTTCAAGACCAGAGGAGAGAGCTCAGAGGGTAGCGCGCTCGCTGGACACCACACAGAGCACTGTTGGAGGACGGTGTTCTGGCAGAGGGAGAGGGAAGGCCCTGGACACAGCATGCCTAATCTAGGGACACTGTCCTTTGACCTCTGGTGCCCTTGTTCAATCAGGACTTTAAGGATCAGCTCTGAACACCCTGTCTTGAAGTCTAGCCTGGGGAGACCCGGCTGGAGAGGGTGGCGTCTCGCCTGGGGTGTCCCGGCTGGAGAGGGTGGGGTCTCGCCTGGGGTATTCTAGCTGGAGCAGGGGAAGTGGGGTTTTGGTTGGTCTTCTGGTCTCAGATGGCTGCAGTGAAGGGCAGATGAACATCACATGACCCCTTTCCCGAGGTCTTGCTCTGCATTCCTGTATCTTCCCAGGTCTTGCAAGTGGCAGAGATTCCAAGGGTCAACCGCAGGGGGCCAGAGCAGGGGGCCTGGACTTGACCGGGGAGGAAACAGCTTGATGTCTCAGTGGCAGGATGCATGTGTGTGTTTATGTGTACACGCACACGTGCACACAGTCTGTACGTGTGTGTGTGAGCACATGCATGAACACGCACACGTGCGAGTGTGCATGGGCACACACGTGTGCTAATCCGTCCCTTCCTCTGGAGAGGCTACTTCTGGTCTCCGAGCGCTTGACCGTCCTGATGGTGGGCGACGAGGGCAGGCACGCAGACCTCACCTCTGCGGGAGTCCTTGCATCTCAGGGGGACTGAGAGGCTCCGGGGTCAGGCTGAGGGGGAGGGGTCCTCACACCTGGCCGGCCGGGGCCCTGCCCGCGGCTGAGACGCACCTGTTCTCTGCCCTCACAGCCCAGCTCATCGTGGAGACGGACACCTTCGGAAGCCAAGTCCGGATCAAGGGCAAGGAGACGGAGTTCTACCTGTGCATGAACCGCAAAGGCAAGCTCGTGGGGAAGGTGAGTGCTGGCCCAGGGTCCTGGGCCGCGGGGAGGGGCAGTGGCGTGGCGTGGGGCCTCGGGGCTTGGCCGGCCGCCAGGAGCACCGCCCCGAGGAGGAGGCAAGGGTGAGTGTGAGGGAGGGGCCACCCGGTCTCTTCCTGTCCCCCCCCCCCGCCCCTGCAGCCGGCCCCGCCTGGCCGTCGGTGCGTGTGCACCCCCGTCCCCCGCTGCACACAGCGCCCGGGGCCCTGCTGGCCGTGCGGATCTGCGCTTGCTGAGGCTCTGGGGCATGCTGCTGCCCGCGCGGCCGGTGGCCAGGCCCGTGACTGTCGTGTTAACCAGGGTGCTGCCACAGCCTCAGCCCTGGCCTCAGGGTTTCAGAAAGATTGTATTACAGGAAGCTTCACGAAATGCACGAGGGCAGGCAGGGACCCCCCCCCGGCTCTGGGCGCCTCGGATCTGCCCAGTGCCGGCAGTCACGCACCTGCTGTTTCGGGCGTCTGGGTGACATCATGCCCTGTCCCCCTCGGCTCTGTGGTGACGTCACACCCGCTACAGTCTCTCCCCTCACCACCACAGGTTTTTCTTTTTCAAAATTGCCTTGACATAGTTGTGCACACAGGGATTTCAGTTTCAACCCCGCGGGAGGATGGAGGTGTCTGTCTAGTGTGTCTCGGCCTCCAGTCAGTGTCAGCCCACGTTCAACCCAGTCACCGGGGCTCTGCCGAGCGGCAGCGTGGCTCACGGCACGGGGCCGGAGTGAGAGGAGACGGTCGCGGTCTCTCTGAGGCTGAATCCTCTATCCTTGCTCTCCCACCCCTCCCCTCCCCCTCCAGGCCGGCCTTGTGGGCCAAACATTGTCACGCCAGTGGTCACAGTATCTTTTAGCTGACCATTTGAACACTGAGCAAAAACGGTTCTTCCCGGCAGTCCTGGTGGACGGGTAGCACGGCTGTCCCGTTTCACAGAAGGAAACACCGGTTCTGTGTTTTTGGGGAAGCCCTCATTCCAGGGCCCGCCTGAGAGCCGGACGCAAAGCTGCGTAAAAGAAAAAATGAAACTGCTCTGCCCACCCCACCCCATGCGGCAGAAAGAGCAAAATAATAGCAATCCGAAGCACGGCCTGGGTGCCGACAAATGGTTTGAATTAGTGATTCACTTTCCGCCGTCTAGGCCAGGCCGGCCGGGTGTCAGGCCACGGCCGGGCCCATCACCCTGGCTGCTGCCCGCCCCGGCCCCTCCCGGCCCCCTCCCAGGCTCCGCCCCCTTCTCTGTAGAGGCCGGGAGGCAGCGCCCGTCCCAGGGTCGGACCCCAGGGGCGCGAGGGGCTGGGCTCCGCTGCTGAGTCACATCCACGGGAGCTGGCTTCGTTTCCTGCTCTGGCCCCCCCAGCGTTAGTGTGGGTGACTGGTCCTCTGGCGCGGCGGCCGCCTGCCCTCCTTCCCGCCTCCGCCTCCCCCGCCGCTTCCCCTTCCCGGCCCCTCTCCTCCTCCCCGTCCACCTGGCCAGAAAGCCTGGGCCGGTGCCAGCCTTGGAACCGCAGAGCCGCGGCCAGGCTCTCGGACCTGTCTGGCCCTGGGATCTGGCCCCAGACTGCTCAGCTTCTCACCCGCTGCCCGTGCTGCGGCCTCCAGGTTCCTCCATCTGTTTGCTAAGGCCCGCCGGCCCCGCGCCAAACTCCGTGTGGCTCCCGGCCTAGGGAAGGGCCTGTGGACAGGACGCACTGGCCCCGCCGGCCCTACCCGCGGCCTGTGCTCGGCCAAAGGGTCCCATCGGGTCCGGTGTGAGATGAGGAGGCCCGTCCCGCCCCTCCCCCAACCTCAGGCCCTGGCCTGGCCCTGGCGCTGCCAACTGTGCACCGTTGCGTCCCCAGCCCCGCCTGTGTGCCCTGCGCCCGACTCCCCTTCCCCAGTGTCCCCGCCTGCAGCCCTGCCCTGGGTGCCTGCATCTGTCCCCTCTGTGCCCCGGGGTGGCCCCGGGAGGGGGGCGAGGCCGGCTCTGGGTGGGTCCACTCGCCCAGGCCTGTGGCCGAGGATCTGCAGAAGTGACCGAGGAACAGACGCAGCCCGGCTGCCCGGGTGCTCGAGCCCCAGGCGGCTCGCGGAGCGGGTCTCCTCACCTGCAGACGGCCACGCTGACCGCCGAGGAGCCGCGTCTGCTTTGCGGCGTTCCTTTCTCTGGGAGGCCCCGGCCTCGCTGCTCTGGAGTTTGTCCCAGGACGGCCTCCTTGCCCTGTCCTGTGCCCTGGCACATCGCCGGCGGAGCTCCACGCACACCAGGGCCTGCCGGGGGTCCTCGCAGCGCTGGCTCAGGGGCCCCAGCTCCTGACGCCCTGGGCTGCATCATGCCCACCGAGTTTCCTGGCTGCCCTGCCGCCCGCAGGCCCAGCCCTCAGCGCCTTTGACCCCCACCCGCCAGTCCTGGGGGCTGTGTTCCCCTCCATCTCTCCTCCAGCTGCTGAAGGCCGGGGTGAGGGCTCACGCCCATACTGGGAGGTGGAGACGGCTGGATTGCGGTTTAAAGCTAGCCCGGCAAAGCGTGTCTGAGACCCGGTGTCAGAGATGCCAGCCATGGCGAGCTGCTTGCTTGTAATCGCAGCAGCGCGGGGCCCAGGAGGAGAGCCAGGTCCTGGGCTGGGCCTAGCCAGAGTGAGGCCCTGTGTGAGAAGTCACGGGAGCCAGCAGTCCCCAAATCCCTTCTCTCTAAGCCGCAGTGCGCTCGGCCCTGCCAGCGGCAGACCAGACGTCTCAGGGACCTTGATCTGCAAACGCTCTGGGCACCCGGTCCTGGCCTAGCCCGGACTGTCCACCAGAGTGACCGGGAGCAGAGGCCTGGGCTGTCCAGCGGAGTGACCAGAAGTGGGCCTTACTTCAGGAAAGCTCTTGGAGGAGGCTGATGGACAAAGACTCAGTGTTGGGCATGAGGTGGCCAAGGGCAGAGACCCAGGAGTCCAGAAGACAGCATTTGTGATCCCTGGAAAAGTCCAGCCATGAATGGAACCTTGTGGGAAGCAGAGGCTGCCTGGGGAGAGGAGCAGAGGCCCGGGCTGTCCTCTGGAGTGACCAGAAGCAGAGGCCCGGGCTGTCCTCTGGAGTGACCAGAAGCAGAGGCCCGGGCTGTCCTCTGGAGTGACCAGGAGCAGAGGCCCGGGCTGTCCTCTGGAGTGACCAGGAGCAGAGGCCCGGCTGTCCTCTGGAGTG